TTGCCCTATTTCAGCATGCTTGGAACCAGCGGATTCCAACAATTGCCGGGCAACCTTCTCATCATAGACCCGAAACAACCCACGGAGCTGCGAGTGTCGTGTTTGTGGATCCTGCAATTCAAAATGGAAAGTATCACCTAACAAATTGGCACAATTCGGGTCCAAAGCCAATGCCCAACGCCTAGCATAGGCCCCGGGACTCTTACACATGTTTTCCCACACCGGCCAAGAGACATCCTGAAATGACATGGGAGCAACAAAACGAAGCACAACACCAGCATTTCGTTTAGCCTTGGAGTGGCCAAACGTGGACTGAGCTCTTTGCACTGAGGGTACCTCAAGTTTCTTTTTAGTACCTAGAACTGGGCTACCATCGGCAAAGGTAGTCATGTAACACAATCTAGTTTGCAAGGCTCTCTGGCACAACCCTGGTATACGGACGGTGCAGGGTTTATCTTCTCCATCAGGCCACTGAAAAGCAGTCGGTAACAAAATGGAAACAAAGGCATGCCGTTCAGTGTGGGCCAGTGCAACACACTGGGTAAAATCTTCAAATGAAGAAGCCAAAACAACAAAAGCAGAATCCTTATGATTGTCTAATGCAGTCGAAAACTCATCAGGGCCACACACCAAATGCAACGAATCCGTGACAGGACTGGTCCAATCAGTGATGCGTGGTTTCCAACGAACCTCTTGCCAGGTGCTGTCTGCCCACTGGACTCGCCTGGCGGGAGCTGGTGTGTCCCATGGTTTGTGGGGCTTCTCTTTGCGTTTGCCCTCAGGGGCTTTCCGCCCACGGTTAGCAATCTCTTTAGAGACAAGTTTCTGGAGGCCATCAAGAAGATTAAAGCCAGATTGTGACCTAGCCCGTGCAATCAAATGTTCCATTCCAGAAATAAGATTCGCATCACTATGGTTGGAAGTGTCAGCATGCTGCAAAAGCTGCTGCAATCCCTCTAGCAAATCAGTTTGGCCACCTCCACACAACCGATCAAAATGGGAAAATGGTTCACCAACTTCACTGTGCGCAGCCGTTCGGCCCCCCTCCCAGGCAGGCACCAGCACCTTAGGCACACAAAATTTGGTGTGCCAATCTTTGTTGCGCCTAAACTTTCTTGCTCGATTGCTGGGTTTGGGGTGGATCCCAACTACCAAGCGGCACCTACGGAGCATGGATACTGAAGACCCAAGCAGCAACTGACTGAATCTCTGAACCCCACGGGCCCATGCAAAGGCAAAACGCATGAGTCCACGAAGCCAACGAGGCTTCTTTTTCCTTGGAGGTAACATCAAAATTGTGGCACCGCAGCAAGATGCCAAATGCGATTGCGAATTGCGACATGGATGTCGAGCATTACGGTACCTTCTGGCATGGATGAGTCTTGCACTTTGTGAGTATCTAGGGGCCACCGACAAGTGCAGCAACTTAGGCAAATGATGACACATCCAAGCCGCAATGCCACAGGCGGCTAGAATGCAAACAATGCACCTGACATTTCGGCACTGCTTAGCCAGATTTGCAGCCCAGGAGCACCACTCGGAGAATTTCCAGGGTACCACGGTTTTGGACTGGTGATGTGGTTTGTGACACACTTGCATCACTGAACTTTCGCCGAGTTGAATTGATCGAAAAAAATTGGCGTGGCCAAAACACTGATTGGCTGGTCCGCGCAGTTGGGCCAAATTCCACTGAGGTCCTACAGCCTTACTTTGAAACGGAAGACGGTGAGACGATTGAACTTCTGATTGCCAAAGAAGCCAAACGCAGAAAAGAAAAACATCGTTCTCAGCCTTTGAAAAGTGAGTTTCGGTTTTCATTTCCTAATGTTGGCAACTCGGCGCCCAAAGCCGACACCAGACTTGGCGATTTTCATGCCAAGGAATTCCCGCTTCTTGTTGCCAAAGGTGCGCTTGACACGCCCTTGCCTGATGAAAGTGGCAAAGAAATGGAGGAACAAGATGAGGGTAAGCGGGCCAGACGGGATGCCCCAGCCCCGGCCGATGCTGCACCGTGGCTTCCCGTAGGAGCCCGGATTGTGAAAAATGAAGGCCGTGGCGATTGCTTGTTTCATGCAATTGCCGATGCCTTGAAAGTTTTGGATCCTTCCCAAAAAGCCAGTGCGCGTTCTTTGAGAGCCTTTTGTTGCGCATTCTATAAGCGCCACACGGAAGAGTATAGTGTAATGTGGGATGGGGTGCGTGCTGGCGCACAAAACAATGATGACAACTGGTCTGGTGATTTTACGGCCTACATTGATGAACTCCAGTTGTCTGGAGTGTGGGCCTGTTATCTTGAATGTTTGCCTTGAGCACTGCACTTCGTTGGTCAATTTTGGTTTGCACCTCCAAGGGTGATGTTTGGGTATTCCCTCATGATGAATCCAATGGGCTTGATCCCATGTGCCTGTTTTTCAATGCCGCCATTCAGCACTATGAGTTCATGGATGGCCCGGTTGCCCCTGAGTTGAAGAGATGGGCAAAAAAGCATGGTAAGGAAAGACTCACAGGGGGAGGCGCTGGATCTGAAGACTCACTCCGATTGGCTGATTTTGCGTCTGTTGACACAGAGCCCCGTTTAGCTGATTTTGCCTCTCCAGTGAAAAGCAAGAGATTTCGCATTTGGGGCAAGAGTGCGCCCTCGAATCACGGTTTTAGCCCCAAGACACGTGAGGTTCAATTTGCTTCGCCTCCTAGACTGATTGACGTTGATTCACCTCCTGTTGCCGCCCAGAAACGTCAGCGTCCCCAATACTGGCTGCGTGGCTCCAAGTTTCAGAAGGGTGCGGAAAAAGATTTGCGTTGGGAATGTCCACATTGCCCGTTTGTTATTGAGGCTGATGGCTACAAAAAGATTGGCCAAGCTCGTTACCAACACAATAAGACTGCACATGCAGGCCAATACCAGGTTGGCCGTTTGAGGCCAAAGTTGTTATTGCAGCAATTGCCACCTAATGCTGATGTGGGGTGGCAGTGCCCTTTGTGCCAAGTTGGTTTGACTGTGGATGAGAAAAATTCCGTGTCCAATGCAGTCCTGAAGCAGTTGCGGGCAAAACACCGCCGAATTGTTCATCCTGATGTATCGCTGAAACAATGGCGGCAACTTGCTGTGCCCACGCCTGGTTCCCTGCAGTACAAACAGCAAAGGCGCATTGCCTTGCTGAATTGCGCGCCTGCGAAGTGCCAGCAGTTTGCTCCGGACCTTGACTCTGCCAAGTTCGAGTTCTTCGTATGGCCTTTCTTGGTTAATGGCAAGACAAAGTGCCAGAAGGTCAGTTTCAGAAATGCTTGGCGTTGCCGTAAATGTTGCCGATGCTTCACAGTCCGCCGTGACTCCAATGAACATGAATGCCGAGCTATGTTGACGCACAAATGCACTCTTGATCGCATTGCCGAGTTGGAAAAGTTGAAAGCACAGCAGTTTGCAGATCACGGTCTCGACCAGAAATCGTCACTGCAGGTTGTCTGCGTCGCCATTGACGCGCTCAAAGGTCGGAGCCTTCCCAAGTGACATGGCGATCTTTGCCACCTTAAATGTCGGCCGAAATGGTGTCAGCAAGTCTGGGGCTGTCAAGCAGCTACTTGACATGTGTAATGCCACTACGTGTGCCTTGCAGGAGCTTGATATCAACAGATACAGTATGTGTTCTTGGGTGGCCGACTGGCGTGCAAAAGGATTTCACGCTTTGCTCAGTTCACCCTGCTTTGGATTTTGTAGAGTGGGGATTGTCTCCACCCAGCCGTTAAAGCCCATCCAGCTTTCTGACGTGGACGAGCCGGACCGTGTGGTCGCTGCCATCTCAGAGTTCGAGTTGCCCGACCAACAGGGAGTTCTGAAATTGATCGTGTGTTCGAACGCAGCGGAGTTTGCACTTCAATCAGTGGGATCCAATCCTCGGGCTTGTGTTGCCAGGTCTCAGCCGTGGACCCCGGTGAAACTTCGTCCTCTGCCAAAGGCTGCTCAAGAGGTTGAGCCCATTCTTCTGAGCCGTGCGTGCAGGCTGCATCGGCGTTTTGTGCAACTCCAGCGCGACCCAGGTCAGGTGAAGCTACACCGCGTTTGCCTTCGCAATTTGGTATCACTTGCCGATCGCATCCCTGAAATTCGACATGGGCACCACTGCGACGGTCCACAGCTAGTGCAGGCATTGTCCGACGCTTGTGTTCGAATGGAATCCGAACACAAGCGCTCTCGCATTCAGGCTTGGCGGGATAATATTCATGGCAATCTCGCGAAACAAGTGTCTTGGATCAAGCGGCGGTCACAGCTGCTTGCAGATATTGCGGAAGAACCACTTGGTCCTCAAGGTTCAATTAACGCAATTCATCCTGCCACTATTGTGTCTCAACAAGAGCAGACGCTTGGCTCCTTATGGACTTCAGTTGAGCCGCCCAATCTCCCTGATTTGCAACGCCTACTGCATCAGATGGGTGGTCATAGTGCTCCTGTTGATCTCAATTTAGTTTGGGACGCCGCCAGTCTACGCAAGCTTGCGAAATCTATGTGTGGTAAGTCTGCAGGAATCGATGGTTGGTCGGCTGAAGCCCTAGTTCTGCTCCCGGAACAGTGGTGGACTGGCTTTGCAGCGCTTTGGAATACCATTTGGTGCACTGGTAATGTACCGTCTATTTGGAAATATGCGAGGGTCGCACTTGTGCCCAAAGATGCTGCTGATTGGCGCCCATTGGCTATCGCTTCTGTGCTGTGGCGTATTGGTGCTTCCTTTCTGGTCAAGGGCTTACGGCCGTGGTTGTCTTCCGTCCTTGACCATCGCGTTTCTGGAGGTGTCCCTGGACGCTCTGTCTGTCATGCTGTTCTTCGAATCGTGGACGCTATCCACAATGATGCTCAGTGCATTATGGTGGCCCAGGACCTTGCAAAATTCTTTGATTCCCTACAGCTTGAACAGGTGATCTTGATTGCGATGCACTTTGGTGCACCACCTCAGTTGGTGCCGTTGCTCAAGTCCTTTTACCACAACTGCTGGCGGCTCTTCACTTGCCGGGGGGTCTGTTCTGACTCGGCAAGCTACAAGAGGTGTGCTGCAGGGCTGCCCGCTAAGCCCTGCATTGGCCGCCCTGGTTATGACAATTTGGTCGCAATTTGTGTGCACGCCTAACATTGATGCTGCTAGTTATGTTGATGACAGAACTTTTTGGCATGTCGGTGAATCAGGTCCAACTCGGTTCTATGAGCTTCAGCAGGCCCACAACCGTAGTTCGCAATTTGATGCCATTTTTGCAATTCGGTGCCGCCCCTCAAAATGCAAACTTGCCTATTTGTCTGGTGCAGTTGGCTCGCGTTTGGCGCAAGCCTTTGGGTATTCTTCTTCCAGCACTTTAAAAGTGTTAGGCACGGAAATTGATTTCCACACAGGCGATGTGACGTTGTCCCGCTTGTCTGTGGCTGCCATCAAGGTGTCGTTGCAGCTATTACAGTTTGTGGCTCCTACTTTTCGTGATCGTAGGCGTATTATTCAGTCATTAGTTATTTCCAAGATTTGCTGGGCTGCTGGCTTGGCAGCTGCTTCAACCGAGCAGCTGCTGACACTTCGGAAAATGGTGTGCCAAGCTTTTGGTGGCCGCGTACTGCTTAAAGATTCGGCGGTGTCCATTTTGCTCGAGGTGCTCCCGTGGAACCTTGATCCAGTTTTGGCCAGCGAGTGGGCGGCTCTGCGTGCGGCCTTCCGCTATCACTGTCAGAAGCCTGCGTGGGTGCAGATGTGCCGTGCAGCCTTTGTTGCAAAGAAATGGATGGACCTCTTTCCTCGTGCCTTCGAAGCTGTGCGTCGTCTCTCTTGGACGGTGACGCTTGATGGTGCATGCATCGTTCGTCAGGATTCTTTGGGAATTCGTCGGTATTTTGTCCTTGGAGTTGACAACCCCCGTATCATTTTTGATTGGCTTGTCGATGCCCATCGCACACACGCTCTCGGCAGTACCAGGCGTGTTCGGGAGTCATTTCATCGCCATGCTGAGGCTACAGCGGTGGGGCTGGATTTGCCTGGTGTGCCGCATGATGCCCGGTGCCTTTTCTCCGGTCATAAGACCATTTTCAATGCTATGGGTGCTACGCTCAGACAACGCCAGAGCGCTTTGGCGTCTGGGTGCTCTTTTTGGTCGGTGCATGGAGGCCAACGTGTCCCTGATGATGATCCTCGTGCAGAGTGCATGTGTGGATTGCGCTACCCCAGTCGCCCACACCTGGTATGGGCATGTGATGCCACTGCTGATTTACGGGTGGGCATCGCTCCTCCTGTGAACCGCGTGGAGGAACGTCTCTTTGGCAAAATTATACCTGAGTGGCCTGCGCCGCCTCCTGTGGTCCATGGCCATCATGAGGCGGTTGAGTTCTTTGCTGACTGCTTGCACCACGTTGCTTGTGGTCAACGCAGTGTGTTTATAGGAGTGGACGGCTCCAGCAAACATGGTGTGGCAACTTTTGCAGCAGCAGTCCACCCTCACCCGGTGGCTACAGTGGTTGATGTGGATGGTGAAGATCAGTCTGCTTTCCGTGCTGAAGTCAGTGCAATTGTTTTCGCACTCACTGTATTGCAGCGGTTTTTGCAGGATTGGGATTTTCCACGAGTTGTGTTTTTGATTTCGGACTGCAAGTCCGCCTTGGATTTGGCGCTGTCCATAGAGTCGGCGTGTCCCCTCTTGGCCAAGCGCATCCAAGAACTCCTGGTGGAACTCAAGGCGGGTGGCTTCCTTATTCATTTGTCTTGGGTGCCGGCTCATGGCCGCGTGGCTGCGGGATGGTCTCCCCCGGATGGTTTGCCTGAGGCCGTTGCAAGGGGTCTCAATCACATTGTTGACGTGGCGGCTAATCGGCGCATGACTCAGCGCCTCGCTGGGTCTGATCGTGCACAATGGTATCTTGCTTTGGAGCAAGCTACCCAATGGGAGATGAGTGTGGTGCGGGCGGTCGCACTTTGTGTCGATCGCTACCGCACATGGCTTCAGTTGCCGTGAACTGGACTTGAGCTCGCAGGACATTAGCTTTGCTGGTGGTATCCCCGTTGCTCCCTAAACATTATGGTATTGCGGGTTTCATCACCTCAGTGACTTGGATTGCCTCCTACCTGTCCTTCGCAGCAAATGCATGCGGTGCAGCGGTGAACTCTGGTGCCCTTTGTGCTGGCGACTGGACTGCTTTGATGGCCAACTTCGGTGAAATGGCCACTGTAGGAGCAGCTGTGAAGGAGGACTGCGACTTCAATAAGGACTGGCTTGCTCTCCTCAAGATCACTGGCACTGATGATGCAGGACAGTTGGTGCTAGATGTGAGATGATATGAGCATGTGTGAGCGTGGAAGCATTCTACATGGAAATAAGGAAATCAAAGTGGCACAGTTGCACCTCACTCATGGTAGTTGTCGGATGTTCCCGGTATGTCACTGTCTATGTTGCACCATTTTGAGAAGAGTTGTGATAGAACGGTTGCCACATTCTCTCTTGGATGAGGACCAGGATGGAAGACTTTCGTCCCCGCTGGTGCTATGCCCACAGTTGAGACTGTCCAGAAGGTCGATGCCCTTCGAACTGTGCTGGGCTTAGCTTGTGGAATTTGAACGACTCTGTGACTTTGTGAGCACTTTGTGAGCCTCACCCAGCCGTCCTCGTTGGAGAAACCAATTTTCTAGGCGAAATCGAGGCATACTTGGCCATCTATGCTATCCGTAGATTTCCACCGAATCAATGGAAGAACATGAAGAACAAACATGTGAGGGTTTGGCAGTGAGGGTTTGGCAGTGTTGGTTGCAGACACACTTCGGACAATTTGGCCACAAAGTTTCATCACGAGCTCGGACTGAGGCCGACCGAAACCGTGCTTTTGACCTGACCCAGTGCGTTGTCGCAGATGTGACTAACGCGGCAGCTTGGCTGGCCCCCTTGTGATCAAGTGACCCTTGGGTTGGGGTCGTTTGACATATGGGATTGAACTCCATCACAGAAGGAGTGCTTTGGCACGACCATGCAGGAAAAGCTCGTTTCTTTGCAAAAGCTTTCAGGATGGCTGGAACACTCTTTAAAAGAAGTTCATGTGTCATAGTTATATGTGTATATATGTGTAATATTGTGTAATTGTGTATAGTTAGATGAGACCAACATCTTGCAATCACGAATGCGCAGGGGCATTCTCGTCGAGCATGTTCGTGTCTCAAAAACATAGCAGTCTGGTTCTGGGCACAAGGGGTCAAGGGGTTGAAGAGCTTCCTCCACAGAGGATCCTGGAAATTGAATGAGAGTCAGCGGACCTTCGTCACAGCACGTCCTAAGGCCGCTTACATCGTGCGAGCCATTCTCCAGATCCGCTCGGCCGCATCGGCCTGCCCAGAGCCAAAGCCACTTGGCTCGGAGAGGCTTCAGACATCCACGGATGCTGTGGCAATGCATGGCAACACATAGCCGGCATGATCGCGAAGTCACGGCATGACATGGACACACACTGCAGGCTTCAGGCTTTAGGCACTTGTAACTTCCGAATTCCTGAGAGTGACAGATGTGGCAGATTGTGGCAGTGTTGATGTTCTGCAGCTACAGGGCCTGTGCCATTAACATCATGAATATCATCTCCTCGTTTGCCTGGATCTCCCAGTTCACGCCGCTTGGCTCTCACAGTTCAGGGTCATTCACGTTGCTGGCAGCCAAACACTGTTTGTAGATGTTCGAAGGAAGTTTAGAAGTCAAACTTCCGACAATATGGACAGATGAAAAGCAGAGCAGGGAAGAGGCAGAGAGAAGAGGAAGATTAGAAGAAAGAAGAGTAGAAGAGAAAGAGTAAGAAGAAAGAAGATGCAGATGCGCGAAAAGGTAGGAAAGTCGCGAAACACTGTGTTTTTCCAATGATTTGTGGCTCCGGAGGGTCGAAAAGTAGGCTCGCTAAAGCGGCGGGTGCGGAGCCAGCTGGCCAGATGAGGTGACTTTGCCTGTCTGACTTTGCCACAACTGACAGGCCATCACCTGCTCAATCCGGGGCACCCTCGCCTCCTAGGCCCTTGGTTACTAATCAGTTAGACCCATCTCCAGCTGTCCAGGATGACTCCCCATTGTCATTATGTCTGGATGATTTTGCATCCGTTGCTGAGCCAAAGTTTCAAACTCCCCCACGCCGGAACAGTGGTAGATATCGGTTGTGGGGAAAGCAAAGTGGCAGGCGCGCTGGCTTCAGATCGTCAACGCAGCCCATCTGCAATCCATTCCGGAGTTGTCGGACGATCCAGCCCAAGTGCCTGCTGAGTCTAAGCCAAAGCATCCTTATTTTTGCCGAGGTTCTGCTTTCAGCTCCGGTAGCTCTAGACAGCTGGTATGGAATTGCCCTCATTGCCCTTTCCAGTTTGAAGCAGATACATTCCAAGAAATCTGTCTTGCCCGATATAGGCACAATCAGAGTGCACATGGCGGCCAGTTCCAAGTCGGTCGTCTGACCTGTCCAGCAAAGGTTGCGCCGCAACCTATTGGAGTTGCATTGGCGTGGAAGTGTCGGTTTTGTGAATATGGTATCTCCGAGCATGATCGCAAAGATATCTCTGCAGATGTGTATCGTGGGCTCCGGCGTGCTCACCGTCGCCAGAAGCATCCACACATCCCTGTGTCCGACTGGCGGAAGGCTCACATGATGCCCACCACGGCGACCTTTCGCCTCAAACGGCGCGCTCATTTGCTCAACGTTGCTGCGGCAAAGAGAAAGATCGCTCCCACTGTTTCTACTGAGGCCTTTGAATTTTTCATGTGGCCCATGCAGGTTCGCGTTAAAAAAGTTCCCCGCGTCTCTATTCGTAATGCCTGGCGGTGCAGATCATGTCAGCGTTGCTTCACCGAGCAGCGAGACACCCGGGCGCATCAGTGTGTTTCGCGGACTTCTTCCAAATGCACCAAAGACCGAATAGATGCTTTGAATTTCTTGAAAGATCATCCAAATTTACCCGAGGGTTTGAATCGTGATCAATTTGATCATTTGCTGGTTATAGCCATCCGTGCCCTGCAGGGTCAAGTCATCAATGATTAGATTCGCTACTCTCAATGTGGGACGAAATGGGATCGTTAAATCCCCACAAGTTGCCAGTATTATGTGTGATCATCAAATTCAGGAAATTGATATTAACAGTTTCAGCTGCCCCAACTATACTAATGATTGGAAGGCCAAAGGATTTCATGTGGTTTTAGGCGAGGTATGCCCCTCCAGAAACTTCGTTCGAGTTGCCCTGGTTAGCAGGCAGCCTATGCGGCTGGTGGCCTTACCGGGTGTCAACATGCCTGACCGGGTTGTTGCTGCAGTTGCTGAATTTAAGGATCCGCAGGGTCAGTTCCAAAAATTTGTTGTGGCGTCTTTCTATGGCCCTGTGGCCGATGAAGCCATTGCTGCGCAATTGGCTGGACAAGTAGCTGAGGTCGCTCACTGCTTCGGCTTTCCTTGGATGGTCCTGGGTGACTTTAATGTTCCACAACATGACTCAGCCATGGCTGATCTGCTTCTCAGGGGTGATGTATTTTCAATGGATGAATGTTTTGGTCCCATCAGCCTTTTACCACCCACACGTAAGAATAGTTCTCGTCGTATTGAATACGGGTTGAGTTCCCGAAAACTGTTCCCTTCTAATCTTAATCATGTTGCTGGGGTTGCTGACCATCTCACAGTGATATATGAGTTTGATTGTCTGTACCCACCAAGTTTGCGACGAGCACCCCGTCGCATTGAGTTTCAGCAGGACATACCCTTGGCTCAACTTGCTCGCAAATTTCAGGAATCTTGGAATGAATTGCAATTTGCTTCCCTTCTCAAGCAGGGTAATGTTGACCAGGCATTCCATCAGTTGTCTCAGGTCGCTGAAAGAACCTTGGCAGCACACGCAACGTCAGATACTGTTCCTCGCTCGGCATCGTGGCAGCCTGGCGTTCGACCCTCTCAGCCTAAAGCTGCCCACCAGGCTGAATCGGTCTTGCTTCGGAGAGTGCGGCGCCTTGAGCGCCGATTACGACATTTGCTGCTAGTCCCCCATGTTGATACATTGCGCAATAAGTGTGTTACTGGAATTAGCCAACTTGCTCCCTCTGTGTTTGAACTTGCGGGTTATTTGACTATGTCCATTGAACAGCTTACAAATGCTGCGGAGGCGGCCGTCTCCCGCATTACTCAAGAGGAAAAACTCGCCCGTATTGCCGCATGGGGCCGTCAGACACATGGTAATCTGGCCCGGCAATCGGCTTGGATTAAGTGGCGACGCCAGGTCTTGGCTGACATCGCCAAGGATCCGGTTCAGCCTGATCAGCGCTTTGCTGGCATTCATCCAACTTCAGTTATTGCAGAACAACAGCGTGAGTGGTCCGCACGGTGGACCCATGATGGTGTCTCCACGGCACCCCAAGTTGAACAGTTGTTGCACTCCTTGCCCTCTCCTCCTTTGTCTGCTTTTCCCAGTGACATGCAGTGGACTGGGTCCAAGTTAAAGCAAATTGCCAAAGAAATGGTTTCCAAAGCTTCAGGGCCGGATGATTGGGGTGCTGCTGATCTCATTGTCTTGCCTGATGGGTTTTGGGAAGCTTTGTCCCGCCTGTGGCAAAAAGTGTATGATACTGGCTCCATTCCCAAGATGTGGGCACATGCTCGTGTCGCCCTACTGCCGAAACAACAGATGGAGTGGCGGCCCTTGTCCATTGCTAGTGTTTTCTGGCGCATTGGGGCACGTCACATAGTGTGCCAATTGAGACCTTGGGTTGAAACTTGGCTTAATCATCATGTTTATGGCGCTGCTCCTGGCCGATCGGTGTCTCACGCCCTTCTGCGTATCTTGGATGCAGCCAATGAATTGGAAAATCGCATTTTTGTTGCACAGGATTTGTCCAAGTTTTTGACACAGTTCAGGTAGAACATGCATGCCAAGTTGCGCGGCATCTTGGGGCTTCGCCCGAATTTTGTAGGTTGTTTGCCCAATTTTATGCCCAGGGTGAACGTATCTTCTCTTGTGCCGGCATTCTTGCTCCGGACTGGATCAAGCCTACCAAAGGGATCATGCAGGGTTGCCCATTGTCGCCACTCATCGCATGCATGTTAATGCACATCTGGACTCTCACGGTGACTATGCACCAAGATGTTGATGCAGTGTGTTATATTGATGATCGCACTTTTTGGAATCTCTCAGCACGGGATCCGGTTCAAGCCCTGCGATCAGCTAGACAACGTAGTGCCGAGTTCGATGACATTTTCGGGTTTTCCTGCCGTCATCAAAAATGCCACATCGCTTCTGTTAATCCTGAGGCTGCACATCTGGCGGATCAGTTTAATTACCCGTTCCCCCCCCGTTTTGTCAGTTTTGGGTGTTTCTTTTCATGTTGCAACGCCGAAAAGTATCTCCCTCACTAAAGTTTCGGTTGCTGAAATTACCCTGGTGCTTAATTTGTTTCATTGCGTCGCGGTGACATTTCGTGACAGGCAGAAGTTATTACAATCTTTGATCCTTCCCAAGTTTACCTGGGCGGCCGGCGTTGCTGGTTTGCCTGAGGATCAGCTCTTGCTTGTCCGCAAACTCATGATTAAGGCTTTCGGAGGCCGGGTTGCCTTGCATGATTCGCCCATGTCCATTATGCTCGAACTCATGAGCTGGAAGTTAGACCCTGTTTGTGCGACGAATTGGGCAGCGTTGCGAGCTGCCTGCCAGTTCTTCACCAAACCTCCACGCTGGGTTGACCGATGCTCGGAACGTTTTCGTCCGTCTGCTGCTTTTGACCTATTTCCCCTGGCTGCTCAGACCCTTCAGCGGCTCGGATGGCGTTTCGATCAGCCTACGGCGGCTATTCTTAGAGTGGATAGCCAAGGGGTTGTCAGACGGTTTTGTATTGGATGGGATAACCCAAATGTTCTAATTCTACGTTATTGGTTAATTGAAGAACACCGGCGATTGGCACTGGCTACTTGTGGACGGGTACGTCAATCCCTCCACAGGCCCATTCTCTTAGTGCTTGCGTTGATTCTGCCGCTCAGAAAGCGTGCTGGTCCGCTTTCAGAATTCCGGACAAGATGCGTGGCATCGCCCTTGTGCTGATGCAATGGAGTGGAAGATGGGCGCGGTGCAAGCGACAGCCGTGATCGCCTGTTGCTATATCACGCCTGGCTTGGTGAGCTCTGAGCTATGCTATTGAGCCCGCATATCCCCGGTGCTCACCAGCATGCTGAACCAACATTCTGAACCAGGACATCAGCCGTTGAAGATATTCCAGAAAGTAAAAAAAGGCTGCTTTCATTGTCATACGTTTTGTTGCATTCATATTTTGTAAGAGGTAGACATCCTTTGTAAGATTTAGGCCATTCTTCTCAAATTCCAACCGCGCTTTTTCGTGATTTTGTGATGTAGTTTGGTTTTTGGTAAAAATATAAAGGTGCACATGGGCGCTTATTCAAACCTAGGTGTGCTAGTCACTTGTTTTAAGGTCTTGATCAAGACGTCGAGGAAATGAGGTCCCGAATCCGGGCATGATTTTGCATTTTGGAAAACAGTTCAGTCTCAACCACAGACATGCTTTATCACGATCTCACAACCGTTTTTCTTGGCAGATGGTTCAAACCCAGGTCGCTGGCTGTGTCTGATTGCTGGGATAAGGGGAGCCAGAAGGCCTTGTGCGCGGCCGACATCTCTGCAACTCGACAAATGCAAACACGTCCATGGCACTCTCCAGTGCACCGTTTTTTCACGCCCCGCCAGTAATTTTGAAGATTTCATCACCTATGTTGCCTATGTTCTTGTGTCCAACCTGGCTTTGAAAACACGACATCACGGAGGCAACGTGTCAATGATTTTGAAAACTTAGAAATTACGAATGTTACATCATAATTACATCATGATTACATCATGATGCATCAGGCTACATCATGCTACCTTACTTGAAACTCATATGCCAGCTCCCTCTGAGGATATGGTTGCAGCTGTGACGAACGGTCCTGCTGCAGGCATCGCAACCACCTCTGACGCTCAACCGCAGATAGATGTCTTAGATGTGGAGAGAATTGGAGAGGCCCGTTGGTTGAGCAAATTCTGGGAGTGGATTTGGCACACGTGGGTCAAATATTAATAATATGTGTCTCAATATGGTCAAATACTGTCAATCTCAGTGACTCTGCCGTGTCCGAGGATTGTGCAGACATGCCCGATCCGCTTGAAGAGGAGAAGCACTTGCCCATGGACTAAGTCCTGGCACTTTCTACAGAACGCACCTTCTAACTACATATATCAGGTAGGGTCTCGACTCTGTACTTGCCCCAGCACCTTTTCCATTTCGCCGGAGGCATACTTAGTCAGGGATCCTCCCTAGCCTGTCAGTTGGAGACTGACCTTGTCTGCCGGAATGACACAGAACTGCGACACCTGCAGTACTCTCTTCAAAGCAACGCTCGTTCGCTACCTTGCTACACTGCTCAAGATGAGCACTTTGTTGAACCTGAACGCATGGAACCTCCACACCTTTGCGAGAAAGCTTGAGTGCTTGAGGGGGGTCAGGGCTGTATGTCGAGCTATGTCGAGTTTGTCCATCTGTCTTTGTCGGGATGTGGAACAGATTAACGATTGTCAGTATCAAAGAATATTTCAACATATTGAGAGATTTTGAAACGTATTTATACAGACTATTACAAAACTTGAAGAATATTGAAGAATTTTGAAGGATATGAAAAGATGAGCCTGAACCTGTGGATGGCCATGTTCGGTCTTGCGATCCTGGGCACCAAGTCAGTCTCTTGTGTGTTTCACCTTGTTTCACCACGTTTTTTGCGATTTGTCAGGCACTTGGGGATTGAAAAAGTAAGAGGCTTGAAGTTCTCTGAGCATGTCTGGTTCTTTGAAATTCAGGAATCCAGACCAGGTAGAGAAGGTTCCGCCATGCCACGGCCTTGGAACGGCGGTTTGCAACTTGGAAGATGACGGTGTCTCAGCACTGGCGCCACTGCTCGCGTTATCCCTTGTTGATAAGAGAATCACGCAGGAAGACTTTAGTTCATGCTGAAGGCTGACAAACCTTCAAGCATTCCATCTACAAGTGCTCATGGAATTTGCCCAGATACTCGGTTGTTTATCATCGTTATCATACGTTATCAGTGTATGGCACTTTTGGTTTCACAGTCACATCGTGACTAAAGTGCCATCTCTCGAAGACGCACCGCATATATTCAAATGCAGGCATTGCAATACTCCACCATGTTTTAAATCATTGTCCATTATTTTTGTTTTGCAAGTCACGTGGTGGTTTTGGGTTTGTTTGAGATTCTACCGGATTAGGTACGTGTGCAAACATCTAATCAAGATAGGCTGCTAGTTTGGCCCATAGAAGGAAGGTCAGCTCACAGCGATCTGAGGACATGGTTGCAGCAATGACGAACGGTCCTTTTGCCGCTCCCATTCTGAACCTGCACATGCATGTGGACATATTTGATGCGTTTTCTTCGGGTGAAATGGGACTTTGCTGAGATCGCGCATCTGTGCCAGATGCTAATTTGATGTCCGCAATGGAACAATTGTGGATGGAGCCCAGGTAAATCTATATACCGTGTATATATATATAATGAATTCCAGTTCGAAGACTGAACTAAAAACTCCTCCTGCAGTTTTCATGCAGTTTCTTTTCAGATAAATGTCATGAAAGCGCAGTCTGCCTCTGAATGGTATTTGCCGACAAATGGCACTTGACATTTGCCAATGGAAAACAGTCGCCTGGGCTTGATGGTGCAATTCTGTGGAGAGATGTGTAGTCTTGTGGCAAACATTAGCAAACCAAACATTTTGATTTTGAGGAGTCGTTTTCCTTTCTCCAGTCAGGAGCATGCAATTCTATTCTGCACTAAATGCGGATGGCATAAGAAAGTGTTGGCTACTGTAATCTGTATATCGCATACAAGAGACACGGATGAATCATAGGGGTGGTTCAATGTGAGTTTCAAGAAAAGACTTCTTCTTAGACTTCTGCTGGATATTGCTAGACTTGGATTATCATCATTTTAACAGATGTTCCCATTAAAGTTGCCATTTCGGGGTTGCAAATTTACACAGCCCCTCTTTTCTGGACAAAGTCACTTTGTATTTGTGGACCTGCTGGATTACCTGGGCACCTGCGAAGGTGCTCGCCCTGCAGCTCTGAGCTTTGTCGTTTCCAATTCGAGGAGACCTGCAGCCTGATAGGACTCTTGAAGGAGGCCGGGATTTGAGGGTGGTAGGCTGAGTTGGGCTGAGCAAACTCATTGTATCTATAAGATTCATTAAGATTCATTAAGTATCATCATTTGGTGGCAGTTGTGTGGTTCCAAACTCACGCATTTCCATTCCGCAGGGTGTTCCAGTCCTCCAACATACCGAGAAAACATGAGAAAACAACTCCCAGAGCTGTTTGTGCAGGACGCCTCTGTTGTGGCTCTCCACCTGGCCTTGGCCTCTGTGGCAGCAGAGGCATGACTTGCTTCCACATCTTACTCTCACTGATCAGATTCAAACCCGCAAGTGTTGCTTGGAACATCATCATATATCGTGATATCATTTATCACGTGATAATGTTAACATTGTTAACATTCTCATCCAACAGGAACTTGTGATTTCCTTGGGCTCCATCCTTTTTTTCCGACGTAACTCAGGAAGCTTCCCAGCTTGATTCGGGATATTTGATAAATGCATGCAGAAATTCCAGTCTCAGTAAACACATACCACATTTGAGTCTTGCCAAGCAGAAAAGAGCCTGGACTAGAATTTTGAGAGAAAGTATCTGACAGGCTGGGAGGAATTCGATGAATGTATATATCTACCATTGGCTGGAACTTTCAAAGAAGTGATTGCACTACTGCCGAAGGCAGGTGTTTTGGAGCCCTTTCCACCGCAACTACTTTCCAGTGCCCAGTACACCAAAGGGGATGGGGTGTCATGTGCCAGTACAGAGAGATGGCAGTGGAGAACCTGTAGATTCTATACAGTGGTGCAGAATGATGCAAATTGATGCTCGGGGAAGAGCTTGATCTAGCAAGACCATTTTTCCCGGTGGGTAGTGGAGACGGTGGAAAGCCTTGCAACATCACAGCCACCAGAGGCACGGGCACAAGCCGACCTGGACGTGGAAGAGTTGGGACAGCTGCGAGGCTGCCGCGAGGTTGCTGGATATTGCTGGCCTCTCAAGTGGAACATAGTGCTGGAGTGCCGGCCTGGTTGTTAGCAACGATATCTTCTTTCAGCAACGTTATTTGCAAGTCCATGGGGACATGCAGAAAAGAGAGTCCATGCTGGGATCCTAGAAGTGCTGATCAACATTCGACAACAATGATCAGATAGCATGGTTATAACCTGCTGCTCGCGTAATGTGAGCACTGTGATCCATGCCAAGCTGCAGTCACAGGATGTGACCACTTTGCGCGGCCTAAGACTAAGATTGCTTCAAGCACCCGGGTACATGATCAGTAGTGCAATCTGTCAGAAGATCAACTACGGAGTAGTAACCTGTGTTCCTTGTACGCACAAAATCACTTGCACATATATATATATGTATATATATATACACACACACTATTTATCAATACTTGGCAATTAATGCGATTCCCTGGGCACTTTACTAGGCGGTTTCTTAATTCAAAGAGACTTTGCCAAAAGCAGATACAACCATTGGCTCAATTCTTGTTTGCTGGGCATGTGCCCATATTCCACATGGTAGATGCCATGGGCCAAAGCCGCCCTAGCCTTTGCCAATGCTGCACTGCCAATTCTGGAGCAACAGGTGGGAATTCTGCAGAGTTGATGAGGCTTGAGAATTTTGAAGAAATTTGGAAGATCTTTACACATTTCTACCCACCTTTGCACCATACGGATCCACTCTACTCCGTCACTGTCAGGCGATGAAGTCTCGCTGCAACGGACGTGCTGCCAGGAGCGCTCTGGCTGCCCCATGATCCTGCCATATCCTGCCGTCTCCTGCCATCTGCAAGGAACCTTGGTCTCGGACACCTGACGTCCCCGAGTGGATGAAGGCATTGTCTCCGGCTTTTGACAGCAGCCAGGTGGGAACGCAAACCGAGATTGCGTGGCGTTTGTGTGTGGAAATGTCGTGACAACATCATTCAACATTTCAATCGTCACTGTGTACGTGCTGAGGAGTTTGTCATGTTTATATACAACAATTTGTTGTGCGCTCAGGCTTGCAGGTAGACTGGCACTATCCACCACTCTTTCATCTCCCAACTTTTGAGTGTCGTAGAAGAGACCATGATATGTGCAACATTGTTGTGCAACATAATGTTGACTACATACAGACAAATCTACGGAGTCAATTAGACATATTTAAAACTATTGTGTATGATGCATGCGATGCTTTTGATTAGACGGGACTGGCACAACTCAGAGATGCTTTGCATCAGAGGCGATACTAATGCTGTCAGCCTGGGAGCAGTTCCACGAGGAGCCGTTTCCCTGTTGCTCCTGTTACTGGGTGCTGGGTCCATAGCATAACCAAAGCTGATCACCAGTTGGTGGTTTGGTGGTTTCTAGCTCTTATGTACGTGCCAATTAAATTGGGATGACAAACATTGATATATAGATGCATATAGTTGCATAGATACACACATCGTTGCATACACATACACATATTATCATATCATCATGTTTTGGATTGTGGAATGAGTTGACAATCAGATAAACACAGAAATCAAATATTGTATAACTGGATACCGCCCCAATTTTTGCAGATGTGCATGCTTCAGGACCTTAAGCGAAGAACCAAACACTTTGTGGAGACCATGGTTGCTGGCTTGCCATGCCGTGTGGTGAATGGACCAGGAGAGCTGATCCTAGCCATCTAGGGAGAAAGTTGGATCGCAAACGCTTTTTGATGCGAAGTCTCACTGTGTCACAACTTTTTCGGCAAACCTGCAGTGACCTGCAGGAAAATGTACTACTGCAAAAGCAACGCTGGATCTTCTCTTCACAACCTTGACAATCTCTGATTGCAACTTGACCAAGTGTGGCAGGCTGCCCCTTGTTCCAAGGTTCACAATTATGGTTCCAGTCACTGGAAGAAGTTCTGATGACTTTTTTTGGAAACTCATCTACCGGGGTACTTTTCTTCGAATTGTCTTTTCAGGGTTGCGAGATCTTCTCCTTCCATAATTGCTCAAGGATGAGGTTACTTTCCTTCAAATGACGCTGGAGATAGTCTCCCAATTGATGTGGCTGCATGGTGCAAGCTGGTGAGTTCGATCGAGAGCTGGCTAGGTCTTCGAAGGGCTTTTGACCTTGGACATAGTGCTTGTCATATCTGGTCATTTGTTTTACTTGGTTGTTGTACTTCAAGGCAAGCCTTTGGTTGAACCTGACGCCTATGAGTGTTCATTCCATCCATTGCCAGAATTGGCAGAATGGTAATTGAGAAAGAGGCCACCGTTTCACTGCAGTTGCTCAGAGTCGCAGGGTGCATTGGTTGCCAGGCGAGTCAGCTCTGCAACAACGATGCTTTTGGTTGGCAGACATTCGGCATCTCGGAAGCAGTTGATGCACTAAACTTCATTAAATATATCATAATACTTTAAGTATAGAGGCAGCACCCGACCACTGATCTTAGTCTGCGATCGATCTTTGTGTTCGGTGATGCATACGCCTGGTCTCAGAGCTTGGCTCTTGAAACATTCTGATGCAGAAATCAGCAGTGCTTGTTGGGCGGCTTGGTTGGCCTGGGCGAAGGAATCTGTGGCTTTGCTCTGACAGCGAGCTTGCACGAAGAGCACACCAGGCGTTGGCGCCGTTTGCAACTTGTCAATGCAGAATTGAACATAGGCGATTTGTAGATTGCAGTCAGCAAAAACGGAACAACCACTTCCCAGTCTCACCAATCACACACCCCTTTGAATTCCGCAAAGAGGAATGAAAAACCCAGATAGATTGACACAGAATACCAGTAGGTGTTTCCGGAAAGTGTAATATGAAAGAACGCAGTATTATTTAGAGCTGACGCTGGCTGACGCTCATCGTCGGCTCCGCCGGATTACTTGACCCTCGATGTCATCGCAGGGTGGGCTTGAAAGCTATTGAATGAGGACCTGCTGCTTCAGAAATATATCCCTTCTGCTTTTTTGAACATATTCATGGAATCATGGAACTGCGATTTTTTTCTTGGAGCAAGTGGGGAGGCTTGTTCCCGAGAATTGCTGCCAATTTCACCTTTCCACTTCGTGTAAAAGCTTCTCTGTGTAAAGACTTCTCTGTGTAAAAGCTTTTGTGTGTCAAAGCTTCTGCGTGTAAAAGCTTCTCTGTGTAAAGATTTCTCTGTGCAAAAACTTCTGTGTGTAAACGCGCCTGTGTAAAAGCTTCTCTGTGTAAAGATTTCTCTGTGTAAAAACTTCTGTGTGCAAACGCGCCTGTGTAAAAGCTTCTGTGTGTAAAGGCTTCTCTGTGTAATAACTTCTGTGTGTGAAAGCTTCCGTGTGTAAAAGGTCTCTGTGTAAAGACTTCTGTGTGGGAAAGTATCTGTGTGTAAACGCGCCTGTGTGTTCAAGCTCTCTGTCTAAAGACTTCTTTGTGTAACAGCGTTTGTGCGTATCAGCTTCTGTGAGTAAACGCCCTTGTGTGTAAAAGCTCCTCTGTGTAAAGGCTTCTCTGCGAAAAGCTTCTGTGTGAAAAAGCCTCTGGGTGTAAAAGCTGCTCTGTGTAAAGACTTCTCTGTGTAAAGACTTCTGTGTGTGAAAGCTTCCATGTGTAAAAGCTCTCTCTGTAAAGACTTTTTTGTGTAATTAAAAGTTTCTGTCTGTAAACGCGCCTGTGTGTTAAAGCTCTGTGTGTAAAGACTTCTTTGTGTAACAGCGTCTGTGTGTAACAAGCTTCTGTGTGTAAACGCCCTTGTGTGTAAAAGCTCCTCTGTGTAAAGGCTTCTCTGTGTAAACGCTTCTGTGTGCAAGCGCGTCTGTGTGTAAAAGCTCTCTGTGTAATCACTTCTCTGTGTAAAAGCTTTTGTGTGTAAAGACTTCTCTGTGTAAAAGCTTCTGTGCGTAAAAGCTCCTCTGTGTAAAGACTTCTCTCTGTGTAAAAGCTTCTGCGTGTAAAAGCCTGTCTGTATAAAGACTTCTCTGTGTAAAAGCCTCTGTGTGTAAAAGTTTCTGTGTCCAAAAGCCGCTCTGTGTAAAAACTTCTCTGTGTAAAAGCCCCTGTGTGTGTGTGTAAAAGCTTCTGTGCGTAAAAGTTTCTGTGTGTAAACGCGTCTGTTAAAAGCTACTCGCCAGCAGCATTCTTCATCATATTTTCTTGTGTGCTATCTTCTCGTCTCCTCTCTCCAGCTTTCTTTCGGGCCACACTGTCGTCTAGTTTCAATCTGTAACGTCGTTTCTTGTTGAAGAATGCCAAGAACATGTGAAAGCATCGCTCCTTTAAAAATTGAACATAAACAGCGCACAAAGTGCTGTAATTTGCAACATTTTGCGCTGTCAGATGGCAAGAACCCGCGTAAATACTACAGTTTTAGTCCCCGAAAGTGGATAAAACACTGTTATTCACAGGGTTTCGCTCACCTCACGATCTTCGATTTTTGGAAAAACGCGTAAACACCAGCGTTTTTTGCAATTCATCAAGGCAAAACATCGGTTCAAAAGGTGCAAACAATGCTGTAATTTAGAGGGGGAGTGGTACCGTCACAAGCAAAAAAACTGCGTAAATACCAGTGTTTCAGCGTCCAAAAGTGGCCAAAACACCGCTATTTACAGTGTTTCGTGCCTTCCATGTTTTCTTGACATTCCAAAAACTGTGCATTTGTTTGGCGACCAACCTGCCAAAAATGCTGTAATTTAGAATGTTTTTTTTGCCTTGCTTCCAAAAACACTAGTTTTGCAGTGCTTTGTGCATCTCTGGTCTAGCAAGTATTGGTATTTACAGCATTTTCTGTGTTTTGCATTGTTCCCGCAAAAGACGTTAAAACGCAAAAATGTTGTAATTTACAGCACGTGGTTAATTTCGAAAAGCTAAAAATCGTCCGAAAAAAGTGTCAAAACGGCAGTTTTTTTCCGATTTTAGGTACCCTCAAAATGGACGGGCTTATGCTCTTGGAGACGCTTATGATGAGCGACCCGGGTTCCGTCCAAAAAGCTCTCCCCCACCAGTGAAGGGCTTGGGGCACACCTCACCATAGAGCTCTAGTCGCTCTGGGATGCTCGTGGGGCAAGCCACTCGTGCGGAGCCGGCGGAGCCAGGCGCTGGCAGAGAAACGGCTTGAAGTCAGTGTAGGGAGCATGTTGCGCTCATATTGAGGCTATGTTGGCGATATCTTAGACCATCCCGGATTGAAGGGCCGCCTTGCAAACATGTTCCATAAAGACACGCCAGACACGCAACACATATAGATGTTGAATTTTAGTTGGGGCAACGTGTGACTAGTACTCCCGGCTATAGCACCTATCCCGTCACAGCATACATCTCTACTACATCGTTTTTTCCCGTTTGTTCAGTCACATCGTGCCAAATATGATAAGCAAAGCGTCAAGAATCATATCATGCAATCAAATCAGTTCACTGTGGGTTTACGGTGGTGGAACTTACTTAGTGTTATGTGACAGTTTGGGTTCACCTGATCAGTCAACACCGCTAGGTTCAGGATGGCTTGTGGCAGCCTCTGAATCCCGTGAAAAGCGTCATAGGTGGGCTCCAGGAGCGATAAGGCAAAAAAAAAGTAAGGAGGCAAAGACCAGACAGTGGAGCAATGGGTGGTTGGGGGTTGTGGTTGTTGTTGTTGTTGTGGTTGTTGGTTGTTGGTTGTTGGTTGTTGGTTGTTGGTTGTTGGTTGTTGTTGTTGTTGTTGCTGCTGTTGTTGTTGTTGTCGTTGTTGCTGTTGTTGTTGTTGTTGGTGGTTGGTGGTTGGTTGTTGGTTGTTGGTTGTTGGTGGTTGGTTGTTGGTTGTTGGTTGTTGGTTGTTGGTGTTTGTTGTTGTTGTTGTTGTAGTTGCTGTTGCTGTTGCTGTTGCTGTTGCTGTTGCTGGTGCTGCTGCTGGTGCTGCTGCTGCTGCTGCTGCTGGTGCTGGTGCTGTTGTTGTTGTTGTTGTTGTTGTTGTTGTTGGTTGCTGTTGTTGGTTGCTGTTGTTGGTTGCTGTTGTTGGTTGCTGTTGTTGGTTGGTTGGTTGGTTGGTTGGTTGGTTGGTTGGTTGGTTGGTTGGTTGGTTGGTTGGTTGGTTGGTTGGTTGGTTGGTTGGTTGGTTGGTTGGTTGGTTGGGTTGGTTGGTTGGTTGGTTGGTTTGTTGGTTGGTTTTGGGGTTGAGGTTGAGGTGTTGCGGTTGCGGTTGCGGTTGATGTTGCTGTTGCTGTTGTTGTTGTTGTGGTTGTGGTTGTTGGTTCTTGGTTCTTGGTTCTTGTTTCTTGGTTCTTGGTTCTTCTTTGTTGGTTGTTGGTTGTTGGTTGTTGGTTGTTGGTTGTTGGTTGTTGGCTGTTGGTTGTTGTTTGTTGTTTGTTGTAGTTTGTAGTTTGTTGTTTGTTGTTTGTTGTTTGTTGGTTGTTGTTTGTTGGTTGTTGGTTGTTGGTTGTGGTTGTGGTTGTTGTTGTTGTTGTGGTTGTTGTTGTTGTTGTGGTTGTTGTTGTGGTTGTTGTTGTTGTTGTGGTTGTTGTGGTTGTTGGTTGTTGGTTGTTGGTTGTTGGATGTTGGTTGTTGGTTGTTGGTTGTTGGTTGTTGGTTGTTGGTTGTTGTTTGTGGTTGTTGGTTGTTGGTTGTTGGTTGTGGTTGTGGTTGTGGTTGTGGTTGTGGTTGTTGTTGTTGTAGTTGTAGTTGGTTGCTGTTGCTGTTGCTGTTGCTGTTGCTGTTGCTGTTGCTGTTGCTGTTGCTGTTGCTGTTGCTGTTGCTGTTGCTGTTGCTGTTGCTGTTGCTGTTGCTGTTGTGGTCGTCGTCGTCGTCGTCGTCGTTGTTGTTGATGTTGATGTTGATGTTGATGGTGGTGGTGGTGGTGGTGGTGTTGTGGTGGTTGTTGTTGTGGTTGTGGTTGTGGTTGTGGTTGTTGTGGTTGTGGTTGTGGTTGTGGTTGTTGTGGTTGTTGTTGTTGTTGGTTGTTTGTTTGTTTGTTTGTTTGTTGTTTGTTGTTTGTTGTTTGTTGTTTGTTGTTTGTTGTTTGTTGTATGTTGTATGTTGTTTGTTGTTTGTTGTTTGTTGTTGTTTTTTGTTGTTTGTTGTTTGATGTTTGTTGTTTTTTGTTTGGTGTTTGTGTTGCACCCAAGAGCTTTCCTCCAAGTGGAGGGTGTGGGCCACGCTGGTGCTAGCGTGGTGCAGAAAGTTCGGGGCATGCTTCCTGATCTTGGGAACTTGGCTTAGCAGTTGCATCTCTCATGCATGTCAACGGTTGCTTGTTGCCACCAACACAATTTTGTTTCCCAGGGTGCAGCACTTCAAGCTACACTGTTGTTGACGAATCGCTCACCGCAGATATAAACCAATCCGGATTGGTGCTAGCATGTGCAGCACGGAGGTACTCGTTGTTACCCGAATCCGTGCACGATTTTGGCAGTTTTGGTTTACACTTTTTCCTGGTTTCAGCCGAGAACGGCCAAGGAGCAGAATACGCCGTCGTGACACGGTACCTGTCACACACACACACCACTGCTTCACATAGTAATGTCCCAGCCAATTGCATTGATTGTTCTCATCAACATGGCTTGCAACACGACCTAGCGAATGTTATGTCCCAGGGGGGGCTCCGTGGCGGTGGTGGGAGTACGCTCCTGCAAGGGCTTAAAGCTCTGTTGGAGGAATCCACAGTTGACACATCGGAGCAATCTCTCTATGATGAAT